AGTATACAAATTTTGTGGCTGTCAATCACTTGGTCTTAGTAAAATCTTTCCCAAATTCCCCCATGTTTTTTGAGTGTGTCCATTGAAGAACTTATGGGTCCTTTGGATTCTAGAGTATGCAAACATTCATCTGACAAAATAAGATGTTTGACAACTTTTCCCCAAAATCAGGTTATTACGTAGCAAAAAGTACCTCAAAACCGGTCAAAGAAAAAAAACTTACATTATATAGGGATTGTTTACAAAGAGACCATTTATCTTTTATACAAGGAAGTCACAATCATTATTGTTCTTTAAATTTCAAAATCGGTGGTCGTAAAGTGTCATTGAATAGACACGATTCAAAAAAAATAATTCTCAGACTTCATTACTCACCCCAAGCTATTGACTTTGACTTTTAATGAGTGAAAATGATTGTGACCTTCATGTACAAAAGATAAATAGTCTATTTGTAGACAAACCCTTATAAATAATATGACCATGTAGAAGAAAATTTTGATTAACTTGAGCCGTCCTTGTACTTATTAATTTCATATATGATCTTCATTTTTTTTAATTGATTATAATACAATACTTTATATTTATTTATTTATTTATGAATATGCGTATACCACTTAAATAATAATTGATGAAAATACATACATGGGAAAGTATACAATTAGATCATTTACCTTTGGAATAAAGTGGTCACAATTAATCTTGACCATTGGATGTGAAATTGGGTAACTGCATTTATTTCATTGAACAAATTCAAAGTTCAAAAAAAAATTTCTCGAACTTTGTGACAGACTCAAACTATCAGATTTCACATTAGATAGTTGTAAGTAATTGTAACTTGCCTATACCAAAGGTTAATGATCTCATTGTATACAATCCCTGCATACATGCATATTGCATTATAAATAATGTAGATGCAAACTTTGACTCACTTGGGGCACTAGCCACCCATTAACCTTTCTCTTTTTTATTATTGTTATTGCTATTATTGTTGTTGTAGTTATTGTCTTTATGTATGATGTTCATATATTTTTCTATCCATTATGTTATATTTATTTATTAATATATTTATTTACTTACTTATTATGAATATATAAGATATATATGTTATCTATGCAACAGTTAATAACAATTGATGGGAATACATCATGCATACATAAAATATGTAACAAAAAATAATTAAGATTCCTAAAATTAAAATAATAGATAATATTATAAAAATAATAGCTATGAATATTATTATGCCATAATAATATTAATAATACAACTGACCTCAAATAGTTGGGATAAAGACTTAGATGATGATGATGATAGCAATATTAACGATATATAATTATCAATAACAAAATATTAACAATATTACTATAAAAATAATAATATCATATATTAATAATAAATATCATAATTGCGTAATAATATGCATAATAGAAATAATAATAATATTATTATTATTATTATTGTCATTCTTTATTATTATTATTATTTTAAAAATAATAAATAAATATTCAAATAGATAATATTAAATAATAAATCTTCAAACCGAGGTTATATAAACATATGACCTACACATGGGATTTCAAAAACCTATGTTCCATTCAAAAGCTCTCAACAAGGTCAAATCCAGGTTTTAACGTAACTAAGCTTTGACATAATAAGGTTGTGATTCAAAACCCATAATAAGTGATTCAAAACCCGGTTTTTATACTGAAGGAGGCAAACGACGCATAGCTTTCATTACGGATTTCAATTTATTTTTACAATAGAATTAAGTAAAGGAGAAAAATAATTTTTTTTTTCTTTTTTCGTACAAGGTTAGAGTTACTTAATTTAGTTGTTAGATGTTAGATGTGAAGTTAGATAGTGGGGTGTGTTATTGACGGCACCAAAATACTTTTTCTTTTCTTTTCTTCTTCTTCTTTTTTTTTTTCATGTTGCATAAGTTATGATAATAATTTAGTTGAGCTGGCGTGGTTTTTAAAATCACCAATTTATCAATGATTTTCAGTGAAATTTGAGAGTTTATCCTTGTTTTTTGAATCATCTATTGGACATGTACTGAAAATTTGTGGGCACAAAAAAAACTTCACATTTACAAAATAAAATGTATAAAGTTTGGCTAATCCCGATAAGCCATTTTTCTAATTTCTATCTTGTTTTTCAATTTATTGTAATGTTAGAGGCGTTTGGTTTTTTTTTTTTTATTCCTCTATCATATCATATAAAAGATATTTGGATTTGAAGTTGAAATCGAAGAAATTCAAGCTATGAATCATGTCCCCCCTCCCCCCCAAATTTTCATGCCCGATCTGCCAATTTAGTAATTTCTCTTTTGTTTTTAATAGTTTTTTTTGTAATATTGGAGGCATTTTATTCATATTTTGGATCTAGAATCCACATCAAGGAAATCTAACCTATCAAATTAGGGAAAGTCGGGCACTTTGCTCAACTTTCTTGGTTATCAAACACAGCCTGATCAAGTCTTTCCCCTAAACATCAAATTGTTTTTCATTATGAGCATATTTTATTTAGCAAAACAATATCAATTGCTAAATTCTATGTTCGTAGTTCAACATAAGAGATGCAATAAACGACAGGTCTGTTTAGGGTGTAGCTGGGAATTCACCACAGACACCACCAAAGGAGAAGGAAAAAGTTTATATAAGGTTGCCACTTTAAAGTGTAGAATTAAATATACACCTCAAGGTTGTTTTAATGTTGAAAAACTTTCTAATTGATCATTTCAACATCGAGATGTATGAATATGACAAAAAAACAAAGAAAAGATTTTGAGTCCCATAAATAGTGCATCTTGCAACACATTATCTAGAACGTCCATTTTCAAGATTTTCATATGTTTATAGATCTGCTGGATTTTAACCATTTTTGGAGTTTTAAATTTTATAATTAGATGCGAAAACAGATTTTTAGATAATCTTAAGAATTTTTTACACCAAAATTACATGTTATGATAAAATTTGGAGGTGCGCCTTAATTGGATTGTTTAAGGTTACAACCTTACAGAAACCACACCCTAATGTAAAATACCTACAAGTAAATCTCCATTAAAAAAAAAAATGGATTTAGAGCTCTTAAGAGGTTATAAATCTAAAAAAATCACAACACATTGAAATTGACAGTAAAAATCGGATTTTAGATGGCAGCCCAGACCAAATGGAGCATCTCAATAAGGAAATTGATCTTGGGGAGTAAGGATTTGGAGCTTCTTAGTCCTCACTCATTCAATACATAAAGAAAGGACATCCTGCTTCCCAGTGTTGTCAATGGCCACACCATTTCCCATAAATGAAAAAAAGTCATATAGGGTGATCCATGTGGTCTTCAAAACCCAAATGCATGAGTTTTTACCGTCCTTGGGATCGGGCAGGGCATTGGTTGTTATGGGGTAAGAGCCCTTAGTATAATGTCTTAGGTTCCATTCCTAATGTTAACATTTCAAAAAAAAAACAGATGGTTGATGGATTGGAATGTCATGAAAGGTAACAGGTCCTTGGGTACAATTCCATTAATGAATTTTACATACCTATTTTTTTCTTTTTTTGACAATGAACATCACTATTTCTATTCATCACCGATCCAACCCTAAAATAGTTGAAAAAAAGCTTTGATGTTGATAACAACTTCTTTATCACCTTATGATTTGGTGATCAAATTATGCAAATGAAAGAACTACAAAAACTACCCTACTTTAAAGGGCAAATTACGATTCTTGAGCTTCAATTTGAACCCCTTGAGTTTCGAACTACAAAACCTACCCTACTTTCAAGGGGAAATTACGATTCTTGAGCTTCAATTTGAACCCCTTGAGTTTCCAGCGTTTGAGCTAACTTCAAAAGGAACCCGATCCTTTGCAAGAACCTTTTCAGAATTCATTGTAAATTCAAGTGGAAAACTGGGGCCTAAAAAATTAAAAGAGAGAAACAAATGTGGAAGCCTTAAGATCAAAATTGCAACAAAACCGATGCTGTCATCCAAATTCCCCAATCTAGTGGTCATTAAAATTATTGTCCTCGATTCGGTCTCGGATTTAAATAATTGAGATGAGCCTTGAATAATGATGATGATGGTGATTATTCAGTCTTTGATTAATCAAAACGAAATGTCAACCTTGATCAAATCAAGTTGTTGTTCTAAGGCACGATCAAAGAATCATGCCCAAACATCGAGCTTGAATTAGGGAGGTTTATATTGTCTTGATCAAGGGAACGTAACATTGAGCTTGGCTTGGTTTGACCAGTTGCTTGAATAAACTCATGAACAGACCGAATTATGGCATAAGGCGATCATAAGCTCAAACGCAATTTAAGCTAAAAGTAAGTCGGAACAGAAATATACTGAATTTGAATTGAGGTAATAATATATATATGGGTACAGTTGGCACACGGATGCATCCGTAGCTGTAGAGGTAAGATGCACCCTCAAATTTTATCATGATATATAATTTTGATGTAAAATGTTCTTAGGATTATCTCAAAATCTATTTTTATATCTAATTATAAAATTTTAAATTTAAAAAATGATTAAAATCAAGTAGATCTATAAACATATGAAAATCTTGAAAATGAATGGTGTAGATAATATGTTGTAAAATGCACTATTTATATTTCTTAAAATCTTTTTATTTTTCATGGTCATACATCTCGGTGTTGAGATGATCAATCAAAGGGTTTTTCAACATTAAAACTACCTTTTCCGATGGAATTTTGAGATGAATCCATAGTTCTACATTATAAAGTTGCATCCTTATATAAACTTTTTCTATATATATATATATATATATATATATATATAAGTCCAGAGATATATGAAAACAAACTTCAAATTCTAATATAGCATTCATAGCAGAAAGTATCATTCTTAAGCATAGACGACTACAAAACGTTGATTTTCTTCCAAACAGGATGGCCCACTGCAGAGAGATTGTATATGCTGCAAGCGCTTCATTCAAGCATTGAATCCAAATCCATAAAGGGAACACTTGAAACTACTTGCAAAACAGATTGCTTTAAAATGCCACACGCATGGACACGCGTGCACATTCCATATCTTGATATAGATATGTCAAAATTCGATAAGAACACTTGCTTTACATACCGTAAATTTCTCTAGCACAACAACAACAAAACCCTGTAACTGTCATTGGAGAATGGCACCATAGAATTCTCTTATCTCAAGTGGACAAGAGTGAGTGAAAAAACTCTTCAGATCTTTGAAGCTTTTCTAACCAACTATGATCAGAAAATATATCACAAATCAGACAGAGAAGGCTGTGAACAGTTGAAGAGGTGATCCATTTAGAAATCTTGCTTACTTGGGCAGTCTGCCGCCCTGTGCCCAGTTCTGCCACAGACGAAGCATGCACCACCAAAGCTTCTGCAACATATCCAAACTTAATCTCAGACACCATGTTGACATATGTGTAACTCTAGTATGCGTACATACAGATTTTCTATAAGCAAAATGTTCTCTTTAAATCTGAAACGTTGATTCGAATGAATTAAAACCTCAACTGCTTATTAATGCCAAGAGAAGAGATGTGTCATGAAAATTCAAAGTGCACCAGTTTTTTCTTGAGAAAGGCAATGGAAATTAAATTATAAGTTTACAAATACACTTGCAGAGATTTATTAGAGAAGTCAAGAGCTTTTGATCAGTGATGTCACCAAATAAGTCGTAATTTTCCTGGTGAATAATAAAAACAACTAAAAGCTGCAAAAATAAGATTCAAAGAGTGATGCGTAGGGAGAAAGTTGATGAGATTGAGGGTAATTTTCTGAGGCTTAATTTATTTTAACGAATCCGCACATGATATGTTGAGCAAAATGCTATGAGGCAATCTGTGACATATTTGGAAACAAGAGAAACCATAGGTAGGTCTGGAGATTTTTACCTTGAAAAAAGTAATTTTCTGACTAAAAAAGATCTATTGGAGAATAATTTAAAGGGATATCGTTTTGAGAATGACAATCTGACTATGATACCAAAATAAGTGAGAAGTAAGAACATGTATTGCCATATGATCAGGCACGAAAAGTGCCTACCGATTTGAAAGGCAAATCCCACAGCCATAAGATCAGAATCCAACCATGAGATGTGGGTAGGGATTCAATCGCGTTATTAAAAAATCAGCCCAGCATCCCAAGATTTGATAGAATTCAACAGTTGTAGAATTTTGAATAGACAAAAGTGGGGGATACTTTTCCTACCCAATCAGAAGTGAAAGGGACATCTGTTTGGGTGGTAACAACATTGTAACAACCAAATGAGACAATATTCATCAAGTAGAAAAGGTCGAGGAATAGTATTTGGTTTTAATTGTGCGTGTGTGTGTGTATAGAGGGGAAGTCACAGAGTACCTGTCCCTACTCCCAAAAGAGGATGATCGGTTTGACCTCCTATTGCCAACGAGCCAATCATCATCGTCATTACTTCTCCAAGAGTTCCGAGACTGGTTACTCCCACCTCTGAAATTCCTCCCACCTCGCCTGAATTGATATTCATCATCAGAGTCTGCGCGGCCCCAGTTTCGTGAACCCCTGAAACATCTTCGATCTCTCGAACCACCTCGGCCCCCTCGATCCCTGCTTGAAAACCGCCCATAGTTGTCTCCTGATGGCCCGTCATCTTGCAATGGTGGCAACTGTGAAGGTAAAGAAAAAAAAGATTGTGGCAACTATTCAAAGAAGAAAAGGCAAGAAATTGAACAATGTCTGAAAAGGTTATTGTTCATGTATAAAAAGAATTAGCTAATAAGGGAAATAGCAATGAAGTGCACGCAGCAGAAACGAAGCTGCAAGTAAAGGTTATATCATGGGTAGAATGGGTAAATGGCAACTTAAAAAATATGCTGCACATCATATACTAACCTTCGTAATCTTGGAAATGGTATTACCAGGTGGAGTCTGCTTTGTAGATAACTCTTTGGCTATCTTCTCAGGCAAATAAAAAACAGCTCCTTGAACCTAAGCAGGACAATTCAAAACATAAGAGGCTCTTTGAGTAAATGCAGGAACCGTACAATTTCAGGTCACTCGGACCAACTAAACAGTTCCAGTTCATATTTAGCCAATCAAGCCGACCATGATATAATTGGAGTTGTAGCTAACATAAGAATACTTAACATGATAAGTACATACCCTTTCATCAGCAATCAAGTGAATCTTTCTGACTTCATCGGCAGCTGCAGGATAGATATCAGATAGAAATCCAGTGACAGATCTGGCTGACAGAAACCCTCTTGAGAATCCCTGTTCGCGTGTTAACTGCAAAGTCACCCATCCCTGCTTCCCAAGACAAGCCATTTTCGAAGTGAATATTGTATTTGGATGATAAAGTTACCCAATTGATATATTTCTCTAGACAAAGGAATGAAAATGTGAAATTGATCAATCATTTTCACCATACAAGCTTCACATCTCAAAACATGGAAAATCTCTGACCAGCCATAGATTTATTTATCTAAAAAGTATATCTATACTACATTATTAAGCTAGAGTTAAGGGATGGACACATGTCAGAAGAATAAATGGGGACTCTACGATGAGAGAGTAGATAAGGTAAGGAGTCCTAGAGTTAGGGTATTACTTAGGGAATGGGTTTATATAAAGCCAAGAGAAATCCCAAATTTTAAAAGCTTTAGGTGAGATTTTTTAGGAACTTTAGATGTTAGGGGTGTTTCCCTTTTCCTTAGGAAGAAAAAATAAACTGACTTTGTAAAATTTTGTAAACCAAATCTTACATAAGGAGAGCATCCTAAAAATTCTCCTCTGGAAAATTGCGAGGCTCTCTCTAAATTTCTTATTTAATTTGACCCATAATTCATATTTTTTATTTTTAGAGGAAATCAATATGGTAGTTATTAAAGTTTAAATGTTGCGGGTTCGTGAATGCGAGAGGTAGAGAGAGAGAGATGAGTTATCCTTTTAAATAGTGCTGGGAGATATTCAAAGAGAGAAAGATATCAACAAGGATTCCCTCAACAAGCACCTCCTAAAATTTGTCCAAGCTAACCTTAGGAGCTACAACGATTCGCACACGTGAAGTGCATTGTCACACCTTAGACTCAACGCATGAAGTTAGATAAGACTTCATGAATGATAGGAGTTCTAGAATGCATAATGAAACAGTAAATCTGATATTCCAGCAATGATTACCTTCATGAGTGACAAGAGATCTAGAGGATGGGGGTTGAGAGAAACCACTCAAGTGAGCTAAGGCAGCTGCGAGAGCATCCGTTCCCTGTTCTTCGATCATTCTCTGAGCAGCTGGAAGGAAAAACGGGATGGATTCAGGATGGACTCCCTTAAGAGTAGCAACAACTTGTTCAGCTGAAGATTCCAAGACCTCTTCCATTTGAGGACTGATATATTCGAAACTACACCCTACATCGCGTTCGAGAGATTTGATGGTTCTCCTTTGACTACCAGTGAACATAAGAATAGCAGTGCCTTCTTTCCCAGCACGACCTGTACGGCCAGAGCGGTGGACAAAGGTTTCTAGATCATTTGGCAGTTCGTAGTGGATAATCTGCATGAAGTTGAAAAACAAAATCATGCTATATTCCTCAATGTTAGCTCCCTCTGATGTGCATATGTTACATTCAAATATTGCTGAACGATATGTAGTGTTTCTCTAAGGTAATATTATTTCATGAATACGAGGAAATAATTTAATCAGGTTGCAAGAAATGCACACAAATGCAAATTAGCTCAAAAAAAAAAGAAAAAAGAAACGGAAGAAGTAGAAGAAGCATAAATGCCAAGATTTCCCCAAGAAATATCTTTAAAATCTTACCAAATCCACATTGGGAATATCGAGCCCACGTGCTGCAACATCTGTGGCAACAAGCACAGTAAATTTGCCTTGTCAAAAACCATTTAGTGTTCTCTCGCGTTGATGCTGAGAGATATCCCCATGCAGAGCCTCAGAAGTAACGCTACTAGTTAACGCCAAAGATACTTCATCAGCATCTCGTTAGTTTGTGTGAAAACTATTGTCTTTCCTCCTTTAGCATAGACCTGCAAATATATAACAAGAAGCAAGTTAAAAACAGTTTTAACAGTTCACAAGTAGAGGGTACATATACTCTGTAAATACCGATGGCAAAAAAAGCAAGATCACATCCAGTAAGAGACTTGAAAAAAAAGTTGATGGACACAAGGAATAGTTATGCAAATCAGGCCTCAAATTTTATATATAATGCAATGCTACAAGAGGAAAAAAGGTAATAGCCTAGTATACAAAATAAAGTATGAATTAAATGAAGTGTGAATTCAGGGAGTCCTTAGCTTAAGAGCTCTCAGACCAATCCAGATAGGTGAAAACATTTCATTGTTCTTTTCCCAATCTAATGACGATTGTTGGGATAAGGCTTGAATGATGATGGTGATGATAATGATTTTTCACAATCTAATGTGAAAAGGGAGAGATACGAGGGGGAGTGGACAGGTTTAAGGGTTCTAGGGTACAGTGGGGGCTTGGAGTGGTTTACCCTCAAGGAATGCAGGGTTGTGCCCTTTGATGCTCAAATATCTGGTATTGGAGATCATGAAATGCTCCAAACCAATTACATCATAATTTTTTTTTAATAATATAACTTCAGAGATAATGCTAGATATTGTACTTGAAGAAACTTCTGCCGGTTGCATACTATTGCATAAGGCCTAATTTGTTGGTTCAGTGCATAGGAACAAATAAGACACATTATTTAGCTTTCCAAATTTCAGAATGATGTTCACTTATTATGCTTGTTTTTCAAGAGTCTTGTTTTCAACATAAACATGTGAAATGTTCCTTCCTTTTTGTTCATTTTCATCAGTATAGATATATTTAGCAGCCACAAACGAAGTATCATAACGTGACTAGACACAAAAAGGATACGACATAAAAAGAAATTGTAAAGAATATAATTCGTAAGTATAATTCCAGATCATTATATGACATACACCAGACATGCCATTATCATGATATCTTCTCAATCATACCGTGATGAGATCCCCAAGGATAGTGCCCTTTGTTGTTGCAGTTGTTGGTATTGCATATAGCTTGATGCCTTCTGCTAACTTTTCTTCTTGATCACCTACCTGTAAAGCAAGCACATGACGTTGTAGATGAAATTCAGTATGTGCATGTGCATATGTCATGGGAACAAGGGGACTAGTTTGCAAAAGATGCTAAAACATGCCAAAAGAGAGAGAATATCAAACTAGATCTATAAAATGCTTCTGATTACATTGCACACCATAATGGACAAGAATAATCGATCTACATCAACCTGATATATCACAAGTCTGTAACCACTTTATGATTTTGTGAAGTCAAATTCAAATACCAGATTTTACAATACAAGACTATGATTCTTTTTGATAGGTAAATACCAGCCTATTTTCAGCTAGACGATGTCAATACCAGTCCTCACTGAGAGAGAAGATGAGAAATGCATACATTAAGAAGGAATATGTTTAGCAAAAATCAGTGAAATTTGAGAGTTTATCCTGTTACCTTTCATGACATTCCAATCCATCAACCATCTGTTTTTTTTTTGAAATGTTAACATTAGGAATGGAACCTAAGACATTATACTAAGGGCTCTTACCCCATAACAACCAATGCCCTGCCCGATCCCAAGGACGGTAAAAACTCATGCATTTGGGTTTTGAAGACCACATGGATCACCCTATATGACTTTTTTTCATTTATGGGAAATGGTGTGGCCATTCACGACACTGGGAAGCAGGATGTCCTTTCTTTATGTATTGAATGAGTGAGGACTAAGAAGCTCCAAATCCTTACTCCCCAAGATCAATTTCCTTATTGAGATGCTCCATTTGGTCTGGGCTGCCATCTAAAATCCGATTTTTACAATCAATTTCAATGTGTTGTGATTTTTTTAGATTTATAACCTCTTAAGAGCTCTAAATCCAATTTTTTTTTTAATGGAGATTGACTTGTAGGTATTTTACATTAGGGTGTGGTTTCTGTAAGGTTGTAACCTTAAACAATCCAATTAAGGCGCACCTCCAAATTTTATCATAACGTGTAATTTTGGTGTAAAAAATTCTTAAGATTATCTGAAAATCTGTTTTCGCATCTAATTATAAAATTTAAAACTCCAAAAATGGTTAAAATCCAGCAGATCTATAAACATATAAAAATCTTGAAAATGGACGTTCTAGACAATGTGTTGCAAGATGCACTATTTATGGGACTCAAAATCTTTTCTTTGTTTTTTTGTCATATTCATACATCTCGATGTTGAAATGATCAATTAGAAAGTTTTTCAACATTAAAACAACCTTGAGGTGTATATTTAATTCTACACTTTAAAGTGGCAACCTTATATAAACTTTTTCCTTCTCCTTTGGTGTCTGTGGTGAATTCCCAGCTACACCCTAACAGACCTGTCGTTTATTGCATCTCTTATGTTGAACTACGAACATAGAATTTAGCAATTGATATTGTTTTGCTAAAGAAAATATGCTCATAATGAAAAACAATTTGATGTTTAGGGGAAAGACTTGATCAGGCTGTGTTTGATAACCAAGAAAGTTGAGCAAAGTGCCCGACTTTCCCTAATTTGATAGGTTAGATTTCCTTGATGTGGATTCTAGATCAGTAATATGAATAAAATGCCTCCAATATTACAAAGTAAACTTTTAAAAACAAAAGAGAAATTACTAAATTGGCAGATCGGGCATGAAAATTTGGGGGGGAGGGGGGACATGATTCATAGCTTGAATTTCTTCGATTTCAACTTCAAATCCAAATATCTTTTATATGATATGATAGAGGAATAAAAAAAAAAAAACCAAATGCCTCTAACATTACAATAAATTGAAAAACTAGATAGAAATTAGAAAAATGGCTTATCGGGATTAGCCAAACTTTATACATTTTATTTTGTAAATGTGGAGTTTTTTTTTGTGCCCACAAATTTCCGTACATGTCTAATAGATGATTCAAAAAACAAGGATAAACTCTCAAATTTCACTGATTTTGATAGGGAAAATGTTATGATAGGGCTGCAACCCTATCAAAATAAGTAAAGCTTAATCTCAAAACTTATTTAAAATTCCAATTTTTGTCGGAAAACCTTCAAAATCGATAATCTTGGCCTTGATCATTTGGTTGTGAAAAAATTAGGATATTAAGCCTTAAAAATAGTATATATTGTAACACACTATTTAGGCTTTTCATATTATCCTAAAAATAAATGTTCATAGATCTGCAAGATCCCTCCATTTTTTGAGCTACAAATTTCACAATCAGTAGTGAAAATTGATTTTAGACCCATGATAGAGATTTCTCATGCTCGAAGTATGTTTTGAACGAAGTTTTGAGGTGGGGCATCACCTTTTTTTCGGCTCAAGCCTTATAGAAACTCCATTGTTCCATGGAGAAACTTGTTCAACGCAATGTGTGATGAAACCTTTAACATTTTCTCTAAGTTTGAAAATTGCCCTTACAAACTGCAAAATATCATACGTTTTTCAAAGAACTCTCACTCAAAGTTAAAACTAATGAGCTCATAATGGAGCTTTCACGTTCTACTATTGAGCAGGTTGTTTTTTTTTTATTGGTAGATAAGTGGGGATTTTAGGCCCCTGCCCGTTTTCAGAAATAACTTTTCAAGGACAGCCCTGATCAAGCCGGGTTTAGTGACCCGACTCATTGGGTCTATGGTCTGGGTTCCTCTCTTGGAACTAGTTAGGTCTAAGCACATAAGTACGACTTTATAGTTTCTTGACATAGTTTTTAGGAACGGGCAGGGCTAGGGCACCCAGTCTGTTGCTAGCCCTAGTTTGGGGATTTGGATCCTCTCCTAAACTAGTTGGGTCCAAATAGATAAGTATCGACTTCATAGTTTCATTAGTCGAGTCTGGTTCTAGGTCAGTTAGACCCATCCTCCCGCCAAAGGTGTGTTGGGTTTATGTGGCCTTTAAAGGCCTTATAAGTGTGTAATGAAAAATATTTACTATAGTAGAACATAAATTCAGTGGGAGTGTGGTCCCTCGAAGACCATACTAAGCAAATGATATTTGAGGATAATGGACTGTGCTTGACGATCTAAGCCAGTCGGTTGAAGAACCCAAAGTACCTGGGCATAAAAAATAAATCGATAAGGGTTTTTGCGTTAGCCCTAGATGATGTCGGAGCTTATGCCTAGATGAGTGAGCCGAGAGATTGTGTGTGTGATGGTAGGCTTACATAGATGGTAGCCAAAACCTCATCCATGTTCCATCACACGGTATGCATATAGATAGATCGTTCAGAAAAGCTAGATATCCACTTTTGGGTGAAGCATAAGCACGTGCAAGAGATACCCCTATGCGTCATAGAGCTGTGGTCGCATCAGGTCGTGGTGACCTTGACTTGTCCCTAGGGGAAGACCTGTAATCCACAAACTAGGATTGCGACTTCGTGACTCATCGACCAGACTTTGGTGACCCACTAATGAGCCCCTGTTTGAACTGTGGGTCATGAAAAATACTGGGTCGGTTCGATAAACAAGTGTGGTCTGTAGTCCACAATTGAAGGTGGAGTATCCCGTAATCGTTGATTGAATTCCTGAACCATATAGATCCACTTCCCATCATATCAATTTAATTGCATTTCCTCGATAAAAGATTACATAGGTCTTTCTTTCATTAGTATCAGAGCTAGTTTTACTTGATTGGCATTAGGAGTCTTTTCTTATTTTTTTTTGAGAATATAAAATAATGGCTGCTAGTACCTTCATCTCTGAAATCCTGAAAATCGAAAGGTTTGATGGGACCAACTTTGCTTCATGGAAAAGAAAAATCAAATTTATGCTCTATGAAGAAAACTTGCATGAGGTACTCTTTGAGGACCGATCTCATCATCCAACTGACGACTCATCTCAAATAATCAAAGATGAGTACGCCAACTGGAAGAGGAGGAACTTGAGATGCAAACACATTATTTTATGTGCCATGACTGACTCGTATGCTTCTGAGTACGAGTCAATGTATATTGCAAGTGAGATTTTTGATAAACTTGAAAGAGAGTATGATGAATCCTCTCTCATGAAGCAAACTATGGTTATGGGAAGGTACAATGATTTAAAAATAGTAGAAGGTACCAAGTTTGCAGATCATGTGCAAGTGTTTTATGCGCTAGTAAGAGATTTGGAAGATATAGTCATGAAGCCCAATGAATCTATCATATAATGAATTCTCTTCTTAGTTCATGGGAGACATTCATATCTTCCATCTCTGCTAGAAGAAAGGCCTTAAAATTGGAGGAACTCATCACGACCATCAAATCTGAAGAAGAAATGAAGAGTTCAAGGCAAACCCCAAGGGATGCTGTGCATATGGCAAAATGTCAACCATCTTTTAAATTTAAGAAAGGAAAGGGAAGAAATACTTTTGAGAAGAAAAGATATTTTAAGAGAAGAGATTTTGAAAATAAGGGAGCAAATAGAGAGACTCGAACTTGTTTTATTAACAAGAAGGTGGGTCATATAGTCAATAATTATCGGTCCAACAAATCTGGTAGAACTAACAAGGAATTGGCATGTGTGGTTTTCAAGTCCATGCTAGTTGACCCCAAGGAAGCTTCTTTGTGTCTTGACTCAGGGGCTACGGCTCATGTCACAAACACCAAGGAAGGTTACCGTTCTTTCACTCACATGGCGTCATGACAGCAACATATTTATATGGGAAGAAATCAGAAGACTAATGTACTTGGAGTTGAAGATTTTGAGGTGAAACTAAATAGTGAGAGCACCTTGATCCTGAAACAAGCACTTTATGCTCCTGATATGATGAAGTATTTGGTTTCGATTCCTAAGATGTCTATGGCTGGATTCATAACCACTTTCATTGGGGAGAAATTGGTGGTCAAGAAGGAGAAAGATGTGATCATGACTGGATGACTTGTGGACATGCTATTTACCGTTGAAATAAAAGAGAATGTTGCCTATGTCTAGTCTCTTAATGAAATAGATGCTACCCTATGACATATGAGGTTAGGACGCATTAATATCAAACGAATGGAAAGATTAAAAAGGGACGGGATTCTTCATAATTATAAGGGAGATTTATCGAAAGTGTGCGAGTTTTGTGTGCAAGAAAAACTAATAAGAAAAAATACCACCAGGGCAAAAAGAGCTTCTAACGTATTGAAAATCATTCATAGTGACATATGTGGACCTATGAATGTGACCACCAAAAGTGAAAAAAGATATTTTATCT